TGAATGTGATTTTCCATAAGATACAATGGTGGGCAAAAATAGATTCACAGTTGCAAGACACAGAGTTGATTTTTGTATTATTATTTATTAATTATTATAGTATTTGTTGTTATTACTATTAACCACCTAATAGTGGCCCACCCCTGGATTTTTCTCTCTGAAACCTTAGGACTTCATAAGACACATTTACCTTCCAAAATTCAGAATTTATGCTACTTGGGGCATTTACAGGTCTAAATTGATGATGGCCGAAGGGAGTTACTATTTTCTCAGCCCCTGACACACGCAAGAAACAGTCCTCTCTTTAAATGTCAGGGACTTGGTGACCTCCTGCGCGGGTTTATGAGCACAGCTATCACTGCTCTTCCCCAAATGCCTTTTCCTCCTGCGTACCGACATTTCCGCCCCATCACTCCTGCATTTGTTTAAGGGTAGCTCCGCCCTGTCCTTCAGCGGAGAACGTTTGGGTCGGCAAGGAACGGACGCCCACAGTGTGTTTGTGCACGCGCCAACATGCTCTGCTCTTACATGCATTCATCACTTACTAATGACATAAAGTCTTTGAGATATATTAGGAAAATCTCAAAATCTCTTCTGCTTCTGATCGTCAAAACTTTAAATTGGGGATAGCTACTCGTGACAAGTTTCTTTAAGCCAAGTTTCTTAGAAAAAACAACCATGTAAAAATCTTTAAGCAGATGAACAACACTGTTGAAAGGGAGACTATTTTTGTCAGAGGTGGAGGTTGAATCTAGAAGTGAGACTGAGAATTTGAAAATAGTTCTAAATTCAAAACTGAAATTACAAGTGAGGAAATAAAAACATCATATGGAGTTGCTGAGAATTCAAGCTAGATGGAATAAGAAAATGGAAGGGAAATGCCGAATATAACCGGACGCCGTCTCCCGTTGGCTCCGAGGTGACCAACCTGATTCCCGAGCACCCCGCCCTGTCTCACAGCCGCACTGTGGAGGGGCACCATCCGTGCTTTACAACAGGCGGGGGCAGTGCTGATAATGCTGCTCAGGGTGGGACAGTAGGATTACAGAGGATTTTTAAAAACTTATTTTCTATGTTGAATTTTTACTTTGTGATTAGCTATCTAATCAATCAAATAATCGATCCTATTTATGAACTGATCATGTGATTTTTTTAAAATATCATATTCCCTGAATTCGGAGTGCTCTGTCCTGCTGTGGGTTTATAAGAGGCATCTCATAAACGAGAAGCAGCACTGGCAGGAGGAGAGAGACTGCAGACAGAAAGACACGCTGTTGCTTGCAGAGAGATGATCGATCACTCATGTAACAGCAGCAGCCCACCAGGGCCCAAATGAAAAGTGAAAGGGAGTTCAAATGCAAGTCTGCAGAATGTCCTTTTATCTCTGAAAGGAAGCGGGGGAAAAACGGCCGAAGGAAGATGCTGGAGAGAATGAAAAGACAGGGCCTTCCACCTGAAACCGAAGCAAGCTGTCAGGTGTGTGGGAATCTATTCCAGTCCAACTGCAGACACAGGCTGCTCTCTGCCATCGGCCTGAGCTGGATGACCTCCACGTCCAGAGTCAGGCACAGACGCTCAGCATCTGTTCCCCACCCCAGCCCCAACCCAGCCCCGACTCCCGGTCCTTGGCGACTCCTTCTTGACTTTGCCCTTGGCATCCTATGTCCAAACCTGACATCAAAACTTCTTTGGCCCTGCAGCTCTGCCCATGGGTTGGACCCAAATCTTATGCTTCCTGCAAGTCCTCAGTCTGGATGTGCTGTGTTCCCACAAGGCTACAACATTCTGCCACAAGCAAGACCTGGGTTCTGAAGACAGCCCCCGACTCCTCCCGACTTCAAAGACTGCTCCTGCACAGCAAGTACAGCGGCGAGCCCCAGGCCTGGGGTGAGGCCTGCCTGGCTTCCCAAGGCCTCCGCCCTGGCTGGGGAATTCAAGGACAAGAATTAATTACCTCTGACTCCAACCCAAGTACTCGCCTGGGGGAGGGGGTTAAGTTCTTACTGAAAATATCTGCGCGGAGCTCTCTGATTCCAGCCCCACACCTGAGATGCGAGGCAGAAGGAGTTTTCACGTTTTGGTCTTTCAGACATGCCCAGTTTCCCTGGCCTATTGTACTTGACCACCCGGGGCCCATCTGGACACCTCTGTCTCCCCCGCTCCCATAGTCAGTCTATTACCAAGTCCTGCAGAACTACCGAGTCTACTTGTCTCCACCTTCACTACTACTACTAACGTCCAGAGACTTAGGTCGGGGCAAAAACAGTAAAGGCTCATAAAATTCAAAGGTCCATTACATACCAGGCAGGCACTCTCAAAACTTTACAGAAATTATCTTCTCTGACCACCCTCTGTATTAGTTTCCTAGGACTGATGGGACAAATTGCATTCATCATTAGACTACCCTCCACCGCTAGTGTTATGTTGCAAAATTAGAGGACAGGTCAGTGGGTGGCATGAGCCTGTCATACAGAAGGTGCTCAATAAACAGTTGTGCATAAATTAATGAGATCATGTCACTAGCCTCGTCAAAAGTGATCAAAAGTTCCACATTGCTTAAAAAAATCACCTTCAGCCCTGGCTGGTATGATTAAGTGGATTGAGTGCCGGCCTGCAAACCAAAGGGTTGCCCACTTGACCCCCAGTCAGGGCCCACGCCTGGGTCGTGGGCCAGGTCCCCAGCATGGGGTGCGGGAGAGACAACCACACATGGATGTTTCTCTCGCACTCTTTCTCCCTCCCTTCCCCTCTCTCTAAAAATAAATAAATTCTTTAAAAGTATCACCTTCATACACCTCAACAAGGCATTCAATACCCTCTAACCCACCATAAGATTAAAAAAGAACCTTAGAATGAAACCGCCTCTTAAAGCTGGGGTCCCCAACCTTCAGGCTCCAGGCTGGCACCAGATGGGGCCTGTTAGGAACCAGGCTGCACAGCAAGAGGTGAGCTTGAATGTGATGCACTTGAATCATCTCCAAACTATCCCCTGCCCACCCCCGTACCCACATCCATGGAAAAATTGTCTTCCCTGAAACCAGTCCCTAGTGCCAAAAAGGTTGTGGACCGCTGTAAAGAATGTTGAGATGTCATATAAGAAGAGACTGATACATTTGGCCATCAAATTTCTAAAAGTTCAGCATGAACAAATTTCATAGTTAAAAAAAAAACGGCTTGCATAAACATTCACAATACATATTACCCACACGGCTAATTCCTTAAAGACGTAAACAGCTCCTGAAGAAGCAGGCACCTTCATTTGTTGTTTGTAGGAATGTAAACTGGTGCAGCTACTTTGAAGGGAAGTTTACAAATAAAAATACAAATTCATCTCCTCTTAGCATTTCTACCTCTAAGACCTTATTCTATAGATTCTCTCTCACCTTGGCACAAAGCGATTCACTGCTACCCCCTTTGCAATAAAAATGTATTGGAAATAACCTAAGTGCCCACCAAGAGAAGATGGTAAATTCATTATGGGACAACTGTACACGGGGTATCATGAGGCCCTTTAAAAATGAGGCGTGTCTATACGCATTAGTGTGGAAGAGGTTAGTTCATTTTGTAAACAACAGAAAGGACATACACATATGTGCACTTACAGTCTATGTCTACATATGAATATTTTTGGAAGGATAACCCAGAAACTTGTAACTGTATTTGCCTTTGAGGAAGCAACTGTGACACTGATACAGGGGTAGAAGGAAGATGTATTTTTCACTGTAAACTCCTGTGCTGTTTGTATTTATTTAGACATGTGCTTGCATTGCCCATGAGAGAGAGAGAGAACACACCACTTTTCACTTGATCTCATACCGTACTTGTCTTTCACCAGACAATTCGCTGCTTCCCAAACACACTGAGTATATTCATGCTGAGCGGGTGTGTGTGTGTGAGAGAGAGAGTGTCTAGGCTCCATCAGCCTCGCCACTTGCACTTTCCACCTGTGGAAGTGTTGCTCCTCTGAAGTTCTGCTGCGTAGACCTCCTGGTCTTCAGTGTTGGAACCAACCACACCTCCTGGTCTTCAGTGTTGGAGCCAACCACTCTTACCTCTGCACTCGGAGAACTCCTGGTCGCTGAACTACAGACATGCTTGCAAGTTGTCACCCTCGTTCAGTTAGCCCCTACTGGGCAGTGTGCATCTTGTTGGCCTCTGTGTTCCCCGGAGGACCAGGAACTTGGCATTACGGAACGCATACCATTAACCAAAAACCATGAAGCAGAAGAGTCATCTAGGAAAACCCGTTTTCTATAATGACCCAATTTTAAGGGAGTTGGAGAAAAACATCTAGCTCAAACATAGAAATCCTACTTCTCATGAATATCTAAAATAGCAAATAAGCGATCCGCAAAGTTGAAAATAAAGCAAATACTGCATATCAAATAGAATTATTACAAGACAGAGATGTATGTGAAGTGAAGTAGGAAGCTATGCTTTAAATATATTCGAGGTCAAGAGAAAAATGAAAGAAAAATAATTTCATTTATAATATAGAAAAGATGGCTCTGACATTTTATTGATTGATTTTTTTAGCCAAACACACCAAATCTGGAGATAAAACATACAACACCGATTTTCGTCAGGGCGTCCCTCACCCCCTCGCACGAGGTCCATGGCCATGTAATTCACTCTATTGCTTCATAGTCACCCCCTTTTCTGAGCAAATTTTCCTAAATCATATATACATTTATAGTAACTTTTTTTTCACTACTTACTTTTTGCTGTCATTAAACCCATTTCCTCTAGTCCTTGGTGACATGGGAGTGTAGAGGGTGACATGACTCTCTCTATTTAACTTCCATGTATCCTAAAGAACTCCGTGGTAACTGACTATGGACTACCTTCTATAAACAAAAAAAACAATTTCTTGTGCCTCTACAATATTGCTATTGTGCATCAGGTCCACTTCTGTTGGACTTATAACAACATACAGCAAAATAAGATATACTGAAATAAAAAGGTAAAGCAGCAACAATTGAAAGTTTACTGCAACTTACTGTCAATGCTGTTTCGTACTCTCCAGCAGCCAAGTGTGCCAAGCCCAAGTAATAGGAAGCTTCGCCTTCCATCTTTTTGTCATTTCCTAGTGTGAGAATGCAGAAAAATTACCACGGCTTTAAGGAAATTGATTTATTCTAACAAACAGGATATTTGCTTTTTTGAGACAGTAGAAAGTTACTGTAACAAAGTGTACACATTTATCAACAATCCCTGAAATCTAACTGTATACTGTTTTAAAAAAAAGTCCGATGTTAACACAATCGACATGGATCACAGATGTTAAAGTGCATTAGCAATATAATTATGAGGCATTACCCTCCCACACACAGGCCAGCGCCATCACCCTGAGATCCGTGCATACTGTCCGTGCTGGTCCACCATGTGAAGACCTACGGTGGCCGCAGAGCTGCTACCACGCACCTCAAGTAACTGGTGAAGAGAACCAACATTACGTGGTGCACAGGCACACACACACGACATTGGCATTCAGCTAAGTCTCTGACAGGGCAGCTAATTAGCAAATTAAGGAATTACACTTTTTGATTAGGTCCAATTTAAAAGCTACTGGTTAACACTTGGATGAGAATGACCGACAGCATTTCACTTGTTGGTACAATACAAAATTCCATGCACGTTTTGAAATCCAAACTCATTTTTCTTTGCTTAATGACTAGTAGTGCTTTTCATCACCTCTCACAAGGAATTTTAGCCTTTCTAATCTCTGTGTAATGTGTTTTATCCCAGGAATTATCAACTTCTTTCCACAAGCAGAATGTGAAACATGTAACATGCGGTCCAATAAGATGTATATCGTATGTTCTCATAAACATATAATTAGTTCACATTTACTGTGCAAAATATAACATAAATCTAATATGCTTACAAAAACCATTAACGACTTTTATACATAAAAAGAACAGTATCCGTTTTCTGCTTTTGGAAGTCTTTGGCTTTCAATGTTAGGTAGCTCCTAGGTAATGCAAGTGCTGACAGATGCACCCTCATCTTTGAGCGTTAGACAGAAAGTACCAGTGCGTGTCTGAACTCTGCATGGCAACCTCCGTGGATTTCAGCAGGGGCCAGCAATCCTCGGTGCTGCCTTCCCTCTCACCGCTCAGTGATCGGTATGCGTGAAGCATGGCTCACGTGGAAGCAGGGTGGCAAATGCCAGCGACGGCACTTTTTCTTCTTCTCTAGCAATTTACACCAATTGCAGAGAAGTATACCCTTAAGATTTCACTTCAGCACGGTTGATAGACCAGCGATCCAGTCTAGGGAACTTTAACTCTTAAAATTCCACGGGGCACTAACTCTTTCTCCGATAAAGGTCCATGAGTGCTGGGGTTGGGGTGAGACTAGGGAAGAGGAAGATGGGGTGAAGGAGGAGACAAAGATGGGAAGTTGCCCTTGAAAGATGAAACTCACTGTGTGTGATTTATGCTTGCTGTGTTAAGCACCGACAACAGCATGTGCTGATGAGTTATCATCATTTGCATCTAATGATGTGCTGTGTAAAGGGTGTCCCAGCGAAGAGGAGAAAGAAAATCTACCCTTGTCTATAGAAAAATTTTGAAGCTGCTAATTTAGATAGTTGGGTCACATCAAATATTAGCTTTAAAATGGAATTTAAGCATGAGAACTTTTCCCGCTCACCAATTTGAGGCAAAGTTAAGGTAAAGTGGATGCAATAAAATAACGGGAAAAAATGTCAGCACTATTAAAAATGAGAGACTCATATGGAACGAAAAGGTAAAATACTATCAATATATTGTGTAGTTTGAGTGGGCTGAATTAATATTGGCTTTGCTATCTAAATCAACAATGATTTATCTTAAAGAAAATACCATGTTTTTATTTTCAAGACTCTAGGAACCATCCTTTCTTTGTGAACTACCTTACAAAATAGCAAATGTGGACCTAAAGTAAAATACCTTCTCCTAATTGATATACTACATTGAAATTGCACATAACTTTCTAGGTGACTAAAGTCAGATGCTGAAATCGACCTGAGAGCCAACTATTGGTACCAGTGCTTCCTCCTTGGGGAAGGTACTAGATCACCACCCATTCAAAGGCAGTTCATGCAAGGAGATACATCTTTCAGTGGGGGTGGTTTCCTAAGGGTATTCTAACTAATGCTATTAAAAGACACAACAGAGAGAATGTGTTGTTTACTTTTACTCTTTAGAAAAATTAAAATTAAAATTAAAATCAGTCTTGCTTACTCCAGCTAAGCCATCTGTCACTCCAATAGATCAGATATAGCCAGAAGCCAATCAACTTCAGGTCAAGAGCATAACTCCTATCCTTTGCCTTCATGAAAAGGCTACTCTAATAATAAATCACTATGTGGTAATAAAATGTCCTTGCATTTCACAAAGTAAAAACCTAATGAGTAGAGGCCCCACACTCTTTTCATTTTCTCTATATGCAAATGGTATAGAATATCAAGGACCGGCTCTCACAAAAGTGTTTTTACTGCTCTCAATGTTCATGTGAATCCCCTGGGGGTCTTGCCAACCTGTGATTCTGATGCAGTAGGTCCTGGGTGGGGCCCGAGGTGCTGCTTTTCTTACGAGCTCCCTGGCGATGCTGAAGCTGCCTGTCCAAAGTCCACGCTTTGATGGGCAAGAGTCTAAAACGTATTAGAGTTCTATTTCCCTGTTACTCCCGACTAAATATTTACCATATCTTCCCTATTACCTGACAGCAGGGAATTTACAAACAACTAAAGGTCTCTCAGATTGAAAGAATAATAAGACCTTACACGCGCGTGCATGCACACACACCCCCTTAACTTTTGCAAACGATCTTACTTTCTCATTATGGGTTCATTGTTTTATAACAGGGCTCCAGAAGGTTGTAATTTTGGAGATAAAGCTTTCAAGAACCTAATGGATTTCTTGTTGTCAGCACCGAGGCACCTCTGTTTTACAGTGAAATTTGAAAAGTATATTGATGGCATTTGTCTTTGCATTTCGCAGGAAATAATCACCCAAACACTGACAATTTTTATGTCACTCTTGGGAGAAGCAGCGTCTGCCCATTAAAGGAAGCGATGTGAGAGTGTTCTTTTCCACTTACCTTCTTTGGCTATTTCAGAAGCTTTTATTAGAATTCTGATGGCCTGCTTGTAATCTTTATTTTCCAGCATTCTGTCTGAGAGTAATCTGTAAGTCCTCAGGAGACTCTCGCAGGCCAACAAGTTGAGAAAGTGGCCTGTCTCATCCTTCCATATCCGCCCTTGCGTCAATTGATGGAATGCTTCATAATGCTCGGCAGCTTCCAGGAGCTGACCTGGAGAATGGAAGCCATTCATAAACATAAACCACAGGCCAGAACACGTTTTCAAAAATTTTGTGTGCATCTTATGTTTTCCTATTAAGGGGTGGGGAGGGGGCCTAACATAGAGGCAAGGATTTCTAAGCCTGAGGAAGGCTTCAGCTGGAGAAGCAGCTGCTCCCATTTGGACCTCAAGTTTAGCATCGATTTTGGATGGACACCTGCTGGAAGGATGTCCTTTGGCTAGTAGAAATCGACTAGGATGACAGATGTTTAGAAAAGAGTGTGAACGTTCAGCAATAATGGTTAATGACAAGAGATATGAGCTAACATTCATTAACCATTACATACGCAAAGCACTGTTTTTTGTGCTTTATATGCATTTCTCATTAAACAGTCCCATGGAATAGGTTCATGAGCCCATTTTACAGAAGAGAAAGCGAGGGTAAGAATTTTGCCCAAGGCGGCATGCCTAGTGGGCGAGTACGGCAGGAAGTCTGGTCCCGGAGGAGCCCAGGCCTCCGCCCCTGCCCTGCACCGCTTCCCCGGCGACTGCAGGCTTCACCCTCAAGGAGGATCTGGGCATCTTCAGAAGGGATGCGTCTGCTGTTACAAATTCAAATTCAAATATTGTGGGTCTTGAAACTGCTTCTCAAAGTTTGACTGAACTTTCCAAGCAGGCACGTGTATACAGTATTCTGTTTAGTTTTGAATAAGTAAAATGTAACTTAACTGCCTTCCTGGACTATATTTTATAATATAGTCTAAATAGATCTTCTTCAATCCAAAACTCTAAATCAGCTTTGAGTCATTTCACTCCTTGAAGTGGGAGCATGCCCTTTTCTGGGAGAGGAGTTTTCAGGTCTGTGCTGTGGATTGTGTTTTACTTGTGAATTGCCTCGTGAAAGGCCCACAATATCCTGCACTCGGTGCGGGAGCTTCCTCGCTGGAACCAGCTGGGAAAGCACTCGCACTGGGCGTTCAGGCAGTCGTGGTTGCAGGGAGTGTGGGCTCCAGACTGCCAGCTGGACCTCCTATCTCAGCTTCACTGTCCTTTTCTGCTGTTTAGCCTCAAGCTAATTACTCCCCTCCCTGTGCCTGAGATGCAGAATTCTTCTGCAAAATGGGATTACAGTATAGCTATTCAAGGTGCAATTATGAGAAATTAATACCTGATACAGAGCAGGTGCTCAATAAACACAGCTACTGTTATCAGTTGACAGTGATAAACAGTTTTTAAAAATACAACAGGTTGATTGAAATATAGGCACTAACTTGTTTTTTTTATAAGTACAACTTACTCTTCCTGCAAAAAATGCAGTTGAGTCCTTATAACAGTATGATCATTATTGATTAAATTAACCCTATTTAGATCATATCAGGCTCAATGCACTTCTTCAGATAGGATTCACCAGATATCACAGGTTGGACATTACAGGATAGTGTAGCCACTGCCAACCTACTGCATATAGTTTCCCCTTATTTTTGCACTGAATTTGTTATCAACATTGCCAATATTAAACCATGAAAGAACGCACACATAACAAATAGTATTCACACAGACACACAAAAGAGATGATCATGAGCAAATAATCTGCGCTGAAATCCAGGCATGGCGTGGCCTGTCTGGGCGCCTGCCTTGCCATGCAGAAAGGGGGCACATCAGCAGAGATATAAATACAATAAAAGACTACAATGCCATACAAGTGACATTATTTAGACTATTTCATTCCATGGGATGGTGCTCATGATAAGGGAAAATATTGCAAAACATCAGAAAACATTTACAAAACATTATCAGTATTATTTGGGTGATGAATTTCTTTTCTGCTTTTATTTTCTCTCTCTCATCATCGGCATCTTCTAACATTTCTAATCATCATAATACATTCCTTTGTAATAAGAGCCATACAATAGAAGCTATTTTTAAAGTAATGCCCAATCCCTTTCCATTTTTGAGACAAACACTCCAGGTTGAAGTTCGCTGCTCTAATCTATCTTTGCATTTAACGGACCATTTTTCTTTACCTCCCACAAAAGCAGGCGCAGCTTGTCATCTCTCTCACCAGAAACACCTTTCTCCAAATACCCACGACCCTCATTTTTTTAAAGAACTCGAATGGGGCACTGACATATATGTGTGTTATGTTTCCTCTGTTAACTATATTTCTGCCTGTAAAGTAGAGCCCTGCATCCTTGGAAAGATGGATACAAGAGTTCTTTTTTTTCCATCCGGGATCCATCTATTCATAAAGTCCAGACACCCATTTCTCTTTGGACATGTGAATTGGAAAGGGTGGGTACAGGGAACTGTGAGTAAACCAGATAGTTCCGGAAAAAAACTGGGCATGCAAGGAAACCAGGAAGGCCCTAGCGACACCGATGGTCACACACAGTCACTGGTTGGGCGCGGGGTGGGGGGGGGGGAGGGCCCAAGGTTGGGCTGTAAAATAACAGAGTCACTGAGAATTCCAGGAGGCAGGCCAGGAGATGAAGCGCCGGGTAACCCCACTAACTACACCGACGTGCAAATGAGGCATAATGAAGTAGATTAAATATGAGAGCTGACAGTCATGTTCAAGGCTTGATTTACTTGGGGGCCAAAATGGGAGGTAGGGGGAGGCAAGGGGAATGTAGAATGTTGGGAAAGGGAAGGTGGAGGAAATAGGAAGAGGGGTGGAGGTAGGGAAGAGGGAAGGAAAGGTGGGGACTGTGCCCTTGTATTCCGTATAAACAGACTTCCCTTTGTCACTGATGCCATTAGGCATCCTGGACAGGCTGTCCAATCAGGAGCGAAATAAGGGAGGCACTTGGTAGGTACACTGGTGTTGCTTGGTTACTATGGAAGTTGGCCTTGGAATGACTGAGAATAGTTGTTTTTTGCTGAGCTTGATGTTTTTTGGCTAGAGCTTTGGAAGTACTAGTGCTTAGCTCATGATTAACCGCCAAGGTTCTGATCTCAGAAGAGTCTGCCTGAGTTCTCCGACAGGGAAGGATCCTGGTCCAAGATGCGCAGGTAAAAGAGAACAGGGAACTATTCTTCCCTGAGGGCCTGCTGGGTGCAAGCCAAAAGGGAAGGCTTTCCTCTCCCCCCACCATACACTATCTTATTCAGCCTTCAAAAGGCTGGTGAAGGAAATATTGCTTTTGCACTAAAGAGAAAGCTTGAGGCTCACGAAGGTTAAATGATTCAAATACATAAAAGGCGACGTGTAGGATGTAAACCCAGGATCACGGAAAACACACACAGCTTCATTTCCTCTCATCAAGTCCTGGTCAACAAACCGAGTCAGGAATCTCCGGTAAAGTAAGTTCTGTTCTCTGGACATAAATTTCTCAAGTTAAAAGTAATGCTTAAATCATGCAGTTTCTAGTCTCTTCTGTTGTATAACTCTGTGACTCTACTCCGGCGACCACAGATAACCTCTAACAAAAAAACACAGGCATTAGCGCCTGATGTGCTGCTGATGGGTCCCTCTGAAGGAGCCGGGTGTACAGCTGGCCGTGTGGCCCTGCTTCCCCGGAGCCATGCAGTGACACCTGTGGGGCACCTGGAGACCCTCGGGTGCCCCCGACTGAGTCACCTGTGGCCATACCTGGCTATTCATGGCTTCGCTCCCCCTCCCTGTGTCACTTTGCTGCAGACGTGGTCCCTGGGGACGCTGATCAGCACTGGTTTTACAGCGAGGTGCCCACCCAGAGGAAGTCGAGTTTTCCAGATGGAGGGATTCAGTTCTAAAATCATTTGGAGGCAAATAGGTCCGTAAATAAGCCAGCAGGGATTTGATCCAAATGACCATAAGTGTACAAACGACTTAACTAAAACTGCTAAAGGCTGGTCAGAATTGGAAAGTGCATATTATAAAATAATATAATATTCAATTTAAACTATTAAAATATATGTCTATACTATAAAGGGAGCAGAGCAATTTAAATATGCAACTATTTCCCTTTAAGCATGATTAACAATGATAGGATTTCCATCCAATTTATATTTCCAATTGTGAATAAGGTTTAAAAGATTTTATTACTTTCTGCTAGTGACTCTGATATCGAGACTAGATATTTATTAAGACATAATATACCTTTCTTGCAAATTTAAGTTTAAATTAAACACACCTGAGAGAAATACCATAAATGGTCATCAACAGAGTGATGATCATTTTGACAAAACTAAATGTAAATATAAATAAAGATCATGCAGCAGGCTTTCCAATTTAGCATCCCTTTATAAATTCTTGAAAGTGTTCCTATACAGTATAACCTTTACCACCAAACAAACTTTGTAAAAAATAAATTTTAATACCGTAGAACCAGGCCAGGTTCCAGGGTCTACCATTGGTCTCACTGAAGGACATGTGTCTAGATAACTGTCCGTTTCTAGAATTATCAAATGCAAACACTACTTCCTATTGAGGAAGAGGTCAGAGAGAAGAAGGATTACACCAAAGTATCACAAAAATAAAAGTCAACTGAAATCAGGACAGAAAGGAGAAGCCCTGGGTACCATGCACAGATTTTAAAAGTCTCCCGAGGAGACACAAGCTCTCTCAGGTGCACCAGGAACCACCAATAAATCTTCATCATCACCATGAGTTGTAACATGGACCACAAGAGTGATTGCGACGAGGAAGACATACTACAGATTGCTCCCTTAGGTGCCCAGAAAAATACAGAGTCCACTAACAATTCAAGTGACTTGGGGAAGAAAATGGAGCCAAAATGTTTTGTTGGACAGACTGGAGATGGCCTTCTACCAATACCATCAGTGATCAATTTATCGCAACGATAGGAGGTAGTATCAGAAAGCACATCTTCGAGGAGCTGCACCGTGAAAAACTGTATAGGACAAGAGGATCCAGGTATAGATAGAAGTAGCCTAAACCTCAAGGTTTGTTTTTTTTTAAACAATTACATGACGTTTACATAAACAATAAAAAGGGTGGCACATAAAGGACGTACATTTCTTTTGTTACATAAAGGCAAGTGCTTTCAAAATAAAACTACTAGAAAGG